GGGGGGGGGGGGGGGGGGGGGGGGGGGGGGGGGGGGGGGGGGGGGGGGGGGGGGGGGGGGGGGGGGGGGGGGGGGGGGGGGGGGGGGGGGGGGGGGGGGGGGGGGGGGGGGGGGGGGGGGGGGGGGGGGGGGGGGGGGGGGGGGGGACTCGACTGTATTCTTTTGACAAAGTTAATAGATAAAGAACCTGATATCCTTACGGCACGTAAGACTAGTTTGACTGACCTACAGGAACATAATCTATCCAGGTCACATCCAGAAAATGAATTAAGTCAATCCATGTGATGAGATGAAAATGTCAATAGACAAGCAATGACCACTACTTACATTTTGAGAATTGGCATCGCTTCCTTCACTTGTACCTTCGCTAGCACTCTCACCACTACAAAAAACCAGATAGATTCATATTACCCAAGATTCCAATGGGCCGTCAATAAAAATTGTAGGACACCAGTTTTCAAGAATGTGAAGTAGATAATATCTAAAATCTTCAGTGATAGACAGTCCCTACAACAACGTTGTTCATGCAGCTGCAGAGTCCCCCCACCCAGAAAAAAATAAAAAATAAAAAAGTGGTTAAATTCCATGGACATCACATAAAGCTTCCTGTTCCCAGAGTTCTACTTTGATCAGTTCCAATTACTCCCACTCCCTTGCAGGTATAATTCCGAGAATGTTTTACTCTTTTTTAAAAAAGATCCGACAGCTTAAACCTTTTCACCCAAGAAAATTTCAAGAATCTTGTGCATATATATTAGTATCTACCGCTCCCTTGTTGTCAACCTCTCTTGAATATGGTTGGTTTGATCCCTCCTTAGTGGAAGGGAATGCCTTGACCCAGCATCCCCATGGCCACTATTTTGATTAGTTTGTTCGATGAATTACTTATCATTTCCTATAAAAAAATAAAATTATATAGCATACATCATTATTAATCGACATGGACTATGTTCCAGAAAAGATAGAAAACCTTTTAGAGTATGCTCCATTGGCAGATGTTCCAGATGTTTTACCGAGCTCATTGTTCTTCCCCGTAATCATGTTCAAACTGCCCAAACTTCCTTTTGATCTTTTAATTGGAAGCTTTTCCTTCACTTCAGGTGGCTTACCCTCCCCATCTAAGCTGCCTGCTGTATTACCCTATATACGTCTTCACGTCATTTGTATTCACTTAAAAACAATGATAAGTCATCATACAACAAGGAAAGAAAGAACTCACAGTGGCTTCAGTGATGCCATTTGGAGAGGGCATTGCAAATGGGCTAAAAGGATACGATCCCTATTATAAATATTAGAATGTGGCATACATAATGAAGTTAATCCATCAGACGAGAATATAACGGAAATTTTAACAAAATAAAAAGAAGGCAACTTCATAATGCCCAGAAGTACCGGAGGAATGGAAGGATGAGCATATATGCCACCAGGGGGGTACATTGCAACATATGGATGTGGAGGCGTGCCATAAGGAGGCATAATATGCTGTAATTAAAAACCCACGTTTAGATAAATACACATGACATGCACCCTTCCCCCCCAATACACAAAAAAAAGGGAAATAGAAAGGACTTCTTAAGGGAAATAGAAGCCATGAACCCAAGCCAATTACAGTGCGCTGAACCAAAAGTCGAAAAGTAAAGAAGCATTTTCTAATTGCTAAACCACAGAAATATACATCTCACATAACAAATGGAATTTAAAACCAAAGATAAAAAGTTACAAAGGCAAATAAATAAATCATAAAAAAAATTAAGAAAAAGCCACTTTAATGACGAAGAATGTTGTATTCTATCTATATTCATCGACTAATCAGACATCCACTACAACCCTTTTATTAAAATTAAAACTTCACTTTAACTTTGTAATGCAAGCCAATAAGCCATGAACCATTTACAGAACCAAAAATGTCATGCTTGAGCAGAGGCATATGCAGGTAGTAGAGGATAGAACAAAGTCATATTCCTTAAAGTACTCTCCAGCTACAAAGTTCGAAATACTGCACAAAGTTATCAGATACGGCATGTACCATTAGGTTGTCAATGAAACATAGAGATCAGTAAACAAAGAAAAATTACTTCAAGACACACGGGCTAAATATTAGTAGCAGCGTCATAATAATAAGGAAAAAACAGAATAGTGCTAAACAGAGTTACGAAAACTCATTTCACAATCTGAATCCAAGCAAATTACATTCACATGGGTCAAAACACAGAAGACGTAATACACCTAAAAAACCAGTGCGCAGCCAATGTACCTGAACTCCCCACATATATGGGTGGGCTTGGGGGCTTGATGCCAAGAAACCATGCGGAGGCATCGGAGAATATGCCTGAAATAAAAAAGAACAAAAGAATACAATGATCTAACCATAATTCTGTGCCAACCAACAAGATTAAACTAATTTTTTTACGCCAATCTGACCTGAAATCCCGACCAATCGGGATTAACTGCGCCAGCGCTAGTGGTTGAAGTCTGCTCCTATAAAACAAAAACAATAAATTATCATACAGAACCTTGTGGACCAATTTTAAAGAAAATTAATCCAACACTTGGGAACTGTTTGCTTATATTTTCTGTGATAGAAAATTTGAAGCTGTTTTATATCACTGTTCTAAAAAAAGTGGTCAGGATCATGCAGAACCTGTGAGGAATGACTTCAAGGAAAGTGACACAAACACTATGGAACTGTTTGCTCATATGTTACATTTTCTGTGATAGAAAAATTTAATTTGTTTTTTAAAGAACTGTTCTATAAAAAAATAAACAAACAAACAAACAAAGTGGTCAGGTTGCATTTAAAACATAATACTGATTGATCTTGAAATTACTAACCTAAAACCCATATTTTTTTAAAAAAGAAGAACAAGAACAATTCAGGTGCAACAGCATTCTAATGAAAAGCAAAGAGAATGAGTTAACAAAAGGGGGGGGAACCTGGGTGGTAAGCGGCGGTGTCTTGGTCTCCTTGTCTTTGGGTGGTTTCTCCATCTCACTGCTACTCATGGTTCAGCTTCACCATCTTCCAGCCATCCTCCAAGCCTTCAAACAACGAGAAACCTAATCCTTAAAACACTGTCGACTGACTTTGCCACAAACGTTCCTCGATGAATCCCCATGAACACAACCAACAACTTACTTCAAATTTAAAAACCGCAAAATTTTCGTTCCCACAATTCAGAATCCCATTTCAATTATCCAATTCGCAAGCAAACCAAACATAGAACATGAAGAATTCAAGAATTACAAGCATACTATTCCGTTCCCTACATGCATGAAGCTAAACAAACAACGAACAAAACCAAAAACCCTAAAAAAAACGGGAAACGGCAGAACACCCAAAATTCCAAATTGAACAAGGTAAATCTCTTCACTTACCAAAAGTAGAAACTTCAAACTCCACTGGGGGGAAAAGAATTCGAGACCCAATTGAAGGAGCCACGAAAGGTGATCAAACGACGAAGACGAAGTCTTAATTGGATAATCAGTGCAACAAGGCGATTCGAAGAACGGCGATGGCGAAGAATGAAAGGAGAAAATTGGGAAGGATTGAAGTTCGGAGAAGAAGTGGAAAATGGGAAGATCGGAAGAGGGATGCAGGAGGAGGACGATGAGGATGGTCGTACGGAATTACTGTCTCTCTCTCTCTTTCTCGAAGAAAAGTTGCGAAATCGCCGTCTCGCTCCTCAGGGCATGAGCCACTCCATTTTCTCTCTCATTGTTTCGGCATCACTGCGACTCATGGGCCGAAGCCCAAATCTGTTTTCTTGTGAGCCCAAATTAATGGGCCTGGCCCATTTTTATATGAATTGTGTAACTGAGGATATTTATCGGCCCAACCAATTATTTTGATTATAATTCTTTTAAAATACATTAAAAATATTTTTGTTTAATTAATTCGAGTTATTTTAGTTATTTATTTAATTTTTTAAAAATAAAAATATATGTAAAAAATATTACAGTTTTGCAACTCAAATTCATATATATATATATATTTATTTATTTATTTATTTTAGTTACGATAAAAAAAATTTATAAACTTTCTTTTAAGAGCTTTTAGCATAAATAACCGAAAAAATAGTTTTAAAATATAAAAAGTTAAAATAAATAATTTTAAACTATAAAAAAAATTAAAATTAAAAAATGTATATATAATTATATAATAAACAACTTTTTATTGAGTTCAAATTAATTTTTTTAAAAAAATCTTAAACTAATTGAAAATTTCAATTATTTGAATTTAATTTAATTCAAATAAGTTCTGTATAAATAAATTAAAAAATTAGGTTGAAAATTAAATAAAACATTTTCTGAATTATTTCAAGCAGAGAGAAAGATTGGTCGCAATAAATAAATAAAATGAAATTGGAAATTGGAATTGTAGCGCTGAAGCTTGTCTTCGAGCTTGAAATTGCAGGAAGCAATGCTTAGAAATTCCAGAGATTTTTTCCCTTAGAATGTCAATTTGGAATGCAATTCTACAGTTCTAGTTTTTCACGGAGAAAATTGCCGAGCGTTGGGTTCTAGTAGTCTCTGAGTTGCTCTATTCTCTGTAAGTTCTCTTGAGTTTTTCGCAGTATAATTGCTTTTACGATTTTCTCAATTACGGAAGTTTTAATTCTTTGCTGTATCATTTTTCAGAAGATTTGGTTCCATGTTAGAGTCTGTTTAAATTTGAGATTATATCATTAAACCCTCATTATACGAATCGATTCTAGACTTTTTTCGATCAGTTATTGTTGTTGTTTCTGATTTATGTTTGAATTCATTTTCGTAGGATTTTTGGTTCTTAATCGAGAAATAAGCGTTGAAAAGGAAGATATACGTACTTTAGGTGTAAAATGATTGATCTGTTTCTGGCTGAGCCTATCTTTAACGAAGAAGAGGATGTTGGCTCTGCGAAGTTGAGAATTTCTTTGTTAAGCAGATTAGAAACTGTTTTATGGAAATTGCTGGCTTCTGGAGGACGGTCCGAGGTCCGATTATGGCTTTCTAATACTATAGCTAGTATGACATCTATCAGTCCCCAGCATCAGCGAGAACTGTTCATGACCTTTCTGAGATCGAAGCCACTGAAGTGGGACTTTGCATCTCACTTACTGCAAATGTTCTTTGAAAAGAGACAACGAGAAGCAGGAGTTCTCATTGCCAAGAGAAGCTACATCATGGAGAAGTTTTTTGAAGGTTAGAGTTTTTTCTTCTCATTGTCAAATTTAGCATTGGCAGTTCCATCTGCTTGCAAGAACACTTAACTAAATCTTCATTCTTTCAAATTGCTTTACTGGAAAATAATAAACCGAAGCTTGTTCTTGAGGACCCACGGATAAGGAATCAATCCAAAGGAAAACTCTGATATCAAATGTTATGAAAAACTTGGATTTGATCTAAAAACATTGTTAAAGAACGAGAACTCTAGATCTAAATTATCCAAGAATCTCAAAAACGATAAGAATCAACTCAAAAAAAAGTTTTGGAACGGATTACCTTGATAATCAATATCAAAAGTAAAGAAAACTCGTTTCTAAACTCATGACTTGAATCACTCTACAAGATAGTTTGATCAAGATTACTTGAATGACTCTAGCATGTAAATCTAAACACAAGAAATGCAACGGAATAAGCTCATGACTTAAGAAGCATAATATGCAACTTTCATTCGTACACCCACTATGTGTTTTTTGAGTGTATGTAGATTTAAGAAGTATAGACATGAATGTGAAACATGGACACAACACAGCTCGGACATGTATTAGAATATAAATTTTAAATACACATTATTTTTATACATCTCAATTCTCTTGCTAAGAGTCTGTTTTAGTTGAAGATGCTCTTGCATTTATGACTCAATGCTTTATGCTATCAGTGTTGTTAATGAAATGTATGCTTCTCAAAAACGAAATTCAAAGTCGATATTACTTTTGCATTTATATGTATTTCATTGTAAAAGTCTGTTATAGTTTCCTTGTCTATCAACGGATTTTATCTTTAACTTAAGACATTGCAACTGCTTCCTTTGACAGGGGAGTTTGTTTATTAATGACACAACAGACTATTCAATTGCAATAGAATGGTTTGCTAGTTCTGTCTTTGATGATTTTCTTTTTCGCTTTCCATGCAGATTCCTGATCATGCTATCGCTCCTTGATTCTGCAGGAAACCCAAGACGAATATCTCAGTGGTTTTCGAATTTTGCTACAAATGGTGCATCAGATCATGGAAAAGGTGCCAAGGCCTTGGCACAGTTTTCTTTTGTAAATCGAGACATTTGCTGGGAGGAGCTTGAGTGGAACGGGAAACACGGGCAGTCTCCTGCCGTGGTTGCAACAAAGCCCCATTATTTTCTTGATCTGGATGTGCATCAAACTGTGAAGAATTTCATTAAGAATGTACCTGAGTTTTGGTATTCCAATGAGTTTGCCGAGTCACTAAAAGATGGTGAAATTTTGTTCCTCGATACAAAATTCTTTGTGAAATATCTCTTCGATCAAATGCTTAAAGATGATTCAAGAGATGTTTGGGATGCCATTAATGAGTTCCTAACGCAGGAGTCATTTTCTTCATTATGTCAACACCTCCTTATTACTCTTGAAGAAGCTGATTTCTGCTGCTTTCTAAAAATGCTATGTAAACTTCTCCGCCCCAGTCTGGAAACCAAGGATTTTGGTAATTCATCTTTTCTGTTTGAGGTCATACTTTCTAAATATGGTGACTCTGAATCTCTAGATCAGATTTTACTATTAAATGCTGTCATTAATCGAGGACGCCAACTTCTACGGTTTGTACAAGATGAAGATGCAGAGGAAGAATTGGATGAAATCAAGAATATTATTTACGAGATTTCAGCAATCTCAAGCGACACTCATAGCTTATCCCCGCTATTGAAAGAGTGCTACAGGAGAAAAAAGACAATAGAGGTGATAAAATGGCTAGGGCTTCAGTCTTGGGTTCTTCACTATAGAATGTCAGATGAATGTCAAACTTCTGAGTTATGGGAATTCTTGTTTGTTGATAATGGCATATGCTTCCGAAAATCTAATGAATATGCACTGTTAGATCACAGCTGTCTATCAGAAGACGATGGTTTTGAACCATGTAATACGGCATCAGTTAAATCTAAGAAGCGAAAAAGAGGGAAAAAAGGTAGAAAAAGAAGAAAAAGGAACTCTGACGATGAGGATAGCTGTGACTATGAGCTGTTGGACTTTGATATTAAAAGGGATAAAACGGATTTGAAGTTAAACACTGGAAGTTGGTTGCTTTCCATTGACAACTATACCGTACCATGGAATGCTGTAAGTACGCATATCATCAACCCTCATTTTTGTGTCTGATTTTTAGATTAATGTAAATGTTCATGGTATGAGGATACATGGTTGATAAGTGACTTTGAATATGTTTTCTTACCAATTTATCTGGGCAATCATTTATTTCTTTGGCCTTAGATTCTTCCTTGGTTGTGGCTTGTGTGTACCTTTCATAGTTTAAATGAAGGAAGGTCCTGAGTCAATTCTTTGTTTAATGCCACATTAATCCATATCAAACTTTTACGGCTAGTTCTTCAAGAACTAAAGTTTTCAATAGAAGAGAGCTCCTATTCCCAATACGCAATCTGGCTGAGGAGGTGTTATTCCATCCCCATTAAAAGAAAAGGGGGAGTTTTGTGGAGGCTGGTATTTTACCAATTTTGTGGAACATCTAACTCGAGAGAAACAAGGGGTTACTTAAGGGGAGGAGACATCTTAGAAAGGTTCGGTCCACAAAGATTCAATACCCCTCCCCGTGTGGTGCTTAAAAAGTTTTGTATTTATCCTCCGTTACTTGTTCTAAACAGTTGGAACTTTTTCTTTAAGTTTTTTTCCCATTCTTTTTGTTTTTGCTCCATTTGATGTGGGCTATGTCTTTTCAGTTGCTCTATATAGAATTTTTGTTTAAAAATAACACAAATGCATGTTATCTGAAGCTTGGCACATTACAAATCTGTATTTGATCTTATGGTTATTATGAAATACTTGATTACATACAATATTTTTTATAAGAAGCGAAGGTCATGTTTTGGTGTACGTTCGTCCTATCGATTTTGCTCTTCTGCATAATCCATTTATTCAAAGAAATTAGTTCCTTAAGGAAGGAAACAGTTTCTGCAGTTTTCTGATTATATTCCTCTCTTGTAGATTGATCTACCAGAATACCTATCAAAGCATTGTATGGCTTCATGGATGAAATGGCTGTTTTCTAGCCGCGAATGAAGAATGAAGCTTTGCTAGGTAGTGTGAAATATATCCAGCATTGGGAAGGAGGCTGGTTGCGATCTTCGGAACCCGTGATGGCGCAACAAGATCACTGTTACCAACAGATATAACCGCGATCGAATGAATTGGTAAGGCAAGGGATCATGTGATGACCACAGGCTCATTGTACTATACATGGTACCAAGTTTTCTTAATAGCCTTTTTGTTCAATATATTCCTGTCATAGAATACAATCAATAATGTCAACTAACGAACTACATCTGAATTGTATCATTGTTCTTTGACTCTATGCTGTTGCTGATCAGAAAAAAAAAAAAAAGAGGATTAGAAGCTCGTATTATATTTGCCACTTTTACTGCCTTTTTTTGGTAGAAGCAATGTGTTTAGTCTTGGAATTGTTTGTATATAGAAGTATTAACTCAAATTCTAATTTTAGTTCACTAAATTGTTGGTTCTGGTGGTTTATCTTGTTCTAGCGATAAAAATCTCTCATGACTGCCCCACATTTTGTAGATGTAGCATTTACGGATATTATGATTCACTTCAGAATCAAAATCTCTAAACCCATGTGCTCGGGCGAGAGTCGGCCTTAGTAATCCGACGATGCCGAGTAGAAGGGTCGTTGCTCAACAGATAAAAAGTTACTCTACAGATAACAAGTTGATCTTCTCCAAGAACTCACATCAATGGGAAAGTTTGACACCTCGATGTTAGCTCTTCACCACCAGGGGCTGTAGTATGTTCCAAGGGTTGGGCTTTGCCCATTCAAGCGTTACGTGACAAAAGGCTTGATCCTCATTGAACTTCGTCACCAGCTTTGAGGTTCAAATCCGAGCAAAGCGTAGAGATGAATGGGGAAATACGACCTTACTTGAACAGGATTTGCTCTTTAGACTATGCGGGTGCGGGTGTGGGTGCATCCCGACCTCGAGTTCTAAGAAGGGGGAAGTAGAATGGACAATGGAGGGGAGGGTAAGTGTAAAATGAGATTAACAATCCAAACAGGTGAGAATTATTTTAGCAATACACTTGTGGTTTTTTTTTTTTTTTTTTTAGTTAGACTGTTATTGGTATGTTTATATGACTTTTATCTATACGCTTCAAAATTGCATCAAATAATAAAACCTAACAACATTTTTATAGACATTTTACAGATTAAAATGTAATCTAACAACATTTTTTTAATGAAAAATTAAGAATATTAACGGAAATCAATTGATTAAGATATATATTATTGTCTAAGAATATAGATGTTTTTGACGAGGAATAACTTTTTTTTTAAAAATTAAAATTGAAATATATTATTAATAACCCAAATAAAGTTTTTTTTAGGATTTAATTAATAAATAATATAAAATTGATTCTTCATTATTAGTTTGTAATGTAGATAATCCATATTTCATAACTTTCCCTAATTTTTTTTCTTTATTTTTAGTTTTATATTTATTATATTAGATATTTTTTTTCAAAAAATTTAAAAATCGTAAAAATAAAATTATGAGCTGTGATTAATTCAATTTTATAGAGATTAAATTTTTAAGTGTTATTAGATAAAAAACAAAAATAAAACCCTATTTCTTCGTTTATATTCTGAAGGCGGCGTAAACCGTTGGGGAATTCCCTCCGCCGCGGGCGCCGTTCTGTAGAAATGAACGGAGAAGCTGAGCAAAAACCAGAGGCTCGGCGACTCCGAGAACTGGCTGAGACGAAGTTCAGAGATTCCAATCTCAAATCTGCTCTCAAATACGCCAAACGAGCCCACCGCCTCGATCCAAACCTCGACGGCGCCGCTGAAATCCTCACCTCCCTACAGATTCTCCGAGACGCCGCCGGCTCTCCGGACGAATGGTACCGGATTCTTCAGGTGGAGCCCTTCGCTCACATCAACACAATAAAAAAACAGTACAAGAAGCTGGCTCTGCTTCTGCATCCCGATAAGAATCCCTATGCCGGTTCCGAGGAGGCGTTCAAGCTCGTCAGTGAGGCGTTTCGCTTTCTGTCCGACAAGGTTAGGAGGAAGGAGTACGATTTGAAGCTCCGGATACGGATTCAGGACGAGAAGTTTGGAGATGCAGATGCGGAGGTTGCTACGGAGAGCGAAACGTTTTGGACTGCTTGCTCGACTTGCCAATTGTTGCACCAGTTTGAGAAAAGGTACGTAGGCTATAATTTGGTGTGTCCTAGTTGTAGAAAGAGCTTTAAGGCCGTTGAGGTCGTGCATAATGAACCTGAAATTGTGGAAAATGGACACATGGTTAGGGGTAGAAGGTTGAGGAATTTGAGTTCTAGGCAAAATTCTGGTAGTTTTCAGGGATTAGAACCACCTAGCTCGAGAAAAAAAGTGAGTACCACTCAATCGAAGAGAAATTCTTCAGTGAAGAAAACTAGCGGTGAGAAGGAGAAGGGTACGGAAATGAATGGAAAAGCTGTTTCTGTAGAAGATGAACTTAGAAGTGGAGACTTGGAGGAAGAACATGATAGTGATGATGAGATATGGAGTAGAAGAAGATTAAGAAGTGGGAGTATGAGGAAGAAGATGAGTAGTGTTGATGAGGTTTTGGAGAGGTCGAAGTTGAAGCCTGTAAAAATGGAGGAAGAAATGATGACTTTGGCTGAATTACAGTCTCAGGTGATTCGGAAAGCTCGAAAAGAGAAGATGAAACTGAAGTTAAAGGAGGAGGAGGAAGCAGAGGAAAGAGAGAATAAGAGGAAGAAGGGCGTTGAGGATGGTGACGACAACGATGATGACGAGAGGCTAACCTTGAAAGAGATGGAGGGTCTACTACGGATTCGTCGGCAAGAAGCATCGAAGAGGGCCGGGTTCCTGAGAAACGAAAAACAAAGGAACTTGAAGAAGGATGTGAATCTGGAAATTAAGAAGCAAGGATCTTCTTGTGATTTGGATATGATGGTGGAAGATTCAGATTTTTACGATTTTGACAAGGATAGAATGGAGAGAAGTTTCAAGAAAGGGCAAGTTTGGGCTATATACGACGACGACGATGGAATGCCGAGGCATTACGGTTTGATCGAAGAAGTTACTGTAAACCCATTTGAGGTGAAAATGAGTTGGTTGGATGTTCAAAACAATGGGGAAGAAAGGCTACTTTCTTGGGAGAAATTGGGATTTCATGTTTCTTGTGGTAGATTTAAGGTCTCTAAGAAAACAACCATTGATTCATTGAACATTTTTTCTCATGTTGTGGATTGTGAAAGAGCAGCAAGGGAAGTCTACAGGGTTTATCCCAAAAAGGGTTCAGTTTGGGCACTTTACAAAGAACAAGAAGCTTTGGATGCTGAGAAGAAACGAAACGTTTCGAGTAAAGAGAAGCGAACTTACGACATCGCGGTGTTTCTAACAACTTATAGTGAGATGCACGGTTTAAGTATGGCTTATCTCGAGAAAGTTGATGGATACAAGACGATATTCAAGAGAAGGGAGATTGGTTATCATGCTATTAGATGGTTCGGGAAGGACGATATTCAGTTATTTTCGCATCAAATTCCCGCTCGGAAGCTTTCTGTAGACGAGGCATTTGGGCATCTGAAGGGCTGTTGGGAGCTTGATCCAGCATCTCTTCCTTCAGATTTGGTAACCACCTGCAGGAGCAGATAGCATCTGAGTGCAAAACTCCCTTGCTGTTCGTCGACGGTATTCGGGCGATCTAATTATCGGGTATGTACTTGCTAACCATGTAGGTTTAATCCAATAATGCATTATGATTTGTAGCATAGCATAAGAGAGGCATTGTAGTGTATAGATCAAGGCACAATATCTTCTAGCCATAACCATACTCTTCATAAATCTAATATTGTTCGCCAAGTATTGATGGGTTTCTCTCGCTCTCTCTCAGAATTTATGCCATGATTCTTAAGACAGGATTTGAATTGAGAAAGAAGAGGAAGAAACTTTGTGCCACTCTATGAGTTTAGTTTTCTATCAAATTAAAAAAAAAAAAAAAAAAAATCTAATAGATTGGTTATTTTTGAATTGTTTCATTCATGAGGAGGCTGATGAGAAAAAACTCTCATATTTGGCTCCCGAAAAAAAAATAAACATAGAAAAAGTGTGAGATCCCACATTGGTTAGAGAGGGGAATGAAACATTCCTTATAAGGGTGTGGAAACATCTCTCTAATAGACGTGTTTTAAAACCTTGAGGGGAAGTCTCTAAGAGACGTATTTTAAAACCTTGAAGGGAAGTTCCTAAGAGTCTGTATTTTAAAATCTTGAGGGGAAATTCCTAAGAGTCGTATTTTAAAACCTGGAGGGAAAGTCCAAAAGGAAAAGTTCAAATAACAAATGGTATCTGGGCAGACATGTTACAAATGGTATCCGGGCCAACACCATGCGGTGTGCTAACAAGGACGTTGGGCTCCCAAAGAGGGTGGATTGTGAGATCTCAAGTTGGTTGGAGAACAAAACATTATTTATAAGAGTAAGAAAACTTTGAGGACGTTGGGCTCCCAAAGGGGTTGGATTGTAAGATTCCACATTAGTTGGAGAGAAGAATAAAACATTCTTTACGAGAGTGTGGAAACCTCCTAACATATGCATTATAAAATCTTGATATGAAGTTCAAGAGGAAAAAAAAAAAAAAAAAGCAATATTTGCGGAGTTGGTCTTAATATTTTGTTAAGACCAGTAATAGTAGAGTAGAGATGTAGATGAAAAAACAAGCAAGATTTTTTAAGATAAAAAATCAAATGATTGTAGAGTCCAAATAAATCATTTTTTAATTTACTTAGCAGAATTACAGTTCCCCAATTCCCACTTTCAAATCATTCCAACTGATAATAAAAATACATTTAAAAGAACTTCAAAAGGCTACACAAAATACCATATCCTTCCAAAGCACTCCCAAGCATAGTTTCTTAAGTTCTACTTGAAGGCTCTTACTTATTGGTTACATTACTACACTGAAATGCTGCACCAAAACTATGGCAAGAACTCTTCACAATCCCAGTTTGAATAGGCAGGGAAACTACAGATGAGTATCATTTAGAAGAAGATTGAACTGGAAAATTCACATTGAGGCCGTTCGATATTGGAGTCATACAGAGAATTTAATGCCTTCATCGTCTGTTGAAGAACCCTTGAAAATTGCAAGCTTTCCCTTCTGTTCAAGTTGCTTCAATGCTCGCATTAAAATCGTACGGTCAATCCCTTGAAGCTCTGAAAAATAAACGTATTGGTTTGCACAAATAAGGCTTGAATGTGATCAAAGGATGTAAACATTTAGTAATGCAAGTATCAAAAACATACTTATTTGATTCATGAATTTTGTGTAAAAGATTATTCGTCTTTACAATGAAACTTTTTAGAGAATTTAACCAAACTCTTACATGACTCGCATGAGTTAAAGTTGATGCTTCAAGTCTCATCCACTTCATTTGGCATCAAATTTGTTAAATATAATCTACCGATTGTCAAGGACCAAAGAAATCAAAGTAGACATTTACAGATATAAGAAAAGTTTCTTGGTCGTGGTGGCTTCCAGAATGAAAGAATCATAACCAAATATTCCTTTACACAAGAGAGGGAATGAATGCAAAAACTAATACAACTCCGGAACCTTTGAATCTCTTTCCTAGCAAAAAAAAAAAAAAAAAAAACAGATTTAAGGGATTTGAGTTAGTTTTTCTTTCCTTTTCTTTTGATTAAACTTCTATCTTCAATACCTTTTTGATAGAAGAAAGTTATTGGCTCCCGTACTTAAACTAAAAGGCTAATGATTCATAACAGTTTTGCCAGTGTTACCATTCCCCTTGAGCCAAATTTCTTGGATTTATTAAGCACCACCAAGATGTTTAATATCATCTTTTTCCCCCTTTTTTTCTTTTCACTTTGCGAGGGAAGTGAACTTTCATTGAGAAAAAGTATTAAAAATACCAAGTAGGTACAAGAAGAAATTAACCCCAAACAAAAGAAGCCAAACTAAAATAAAATCAGGCTCCAGTTGAGCAAAATAACACCTAAGGGATAACCAACTAGAGTTGCTTTAAAACCAATATCAATGTAGCAAACTAAAAATAGATTCAGAAATCATTGGAAGATCTAAATCGCCTCAGTAGAAGCAAGGAAAGTACCTGTTCCTCTAGATTCAACTCCTGAACGTATTTCCTCAACTGTCATAACACTATCTTCAAGTCCATTGTTTTTCACCTATTTAATAAGGCAATTGCATAAGAATTTTTCAAAGCACCCCTCGATTAGAGCTTGTTTGGAATGATTTTCTAAGTGATTAAACAAGGGATTTTAAGTGCTACAAAAATGTGAATAATTACTTGAAAAATCTTTCCAAACATGCTCAATTTGAGAATGTTGTAGTTCTTTAAAATAATTGTTTTAACTTTTTTTTAAAAAAACAGTTGTAATATAAAGTAAATAAGTGTGGAAATGTGGGAAAATATGGGTAAAAAGGATTTTCAAGAGTTGGTTAGTAGAGGCATCAAACTCTTTGAGAATTCAAAAGATACGCTTCACAACATTTTACAAATCAACACAACTGAAAAGGTGATTTTCTTTAACTTAATTTTAATCAGTCAACATTAAAGAAAGTTAAAATTTTTATTACCTCTTCAAAAATCATTCCAAACTCACCCTAAACCAATCAACTTTAACATAACTATTGACAGTTAACAAAGTATTTAGTCTTACAAAGTGCAAAATGATGTCAGCCCAATCTTGAATTCGGTGCCACAAAATAAGACATTTCCTATGTCCCTTATCCAGCCATTCTGCACGACCTATTGGACAATTAAAGTAACAATTATCAGTTTTGGGAATAAATGGAAACTGTAAACAAATATAATGATAGAACAAAACTAGCACGGACTAACCATCTGAAACTAAGGCAGAGAGAAACGCTACTCTAGCTTCATGACTGAGAGATCCTGTAGCATCACAACCACACTGTGAAATACATCAAACAACTGGAAAAGTAGAACATAGATCCATGACTGAGAGTTCTAAACACCAAGTCCAATGTACTATGCTCCATAGAATGAAAAGGTTTCATATAATGAAGCCAATATCTTAATATTTTTCACACTGTTCATGATGCAACTGTGAATGACTTTTTTAGCGTTAATATTAATGCATGTACCAAAAGTCTTAACGGTCAATGAGCATCAAACAAGTTCAGGAATTTACTCTCAATGACAGAATTTGAAAATAGAGGAAATTCCTCTTCGAGTCCAATGACAAATATCTTTTGTGTTCGGCAGTAGTCGAGAATAAGTTCCTTCCAAAGTTGAATTTGCTTCTCACGGGTGTCCTTCACCGGTTGCAAACTGATAAGACATGCAATACAAGATTATAAATGAAACTTAAGACATGACAAGCTTGATATAAAGTGAAACAGTCCAAGTTATCAATAACAATTTCAGAATTGCAGCAAGGTAGAATTATCACATTCATTTTTTATGAAAAAAAACAAAATTATCAGATTCATTCTTATGAGGCAAACGGGGAAGCATAAGTGATCCAGAACCCTGTTATTGTTGCATAACTACTGGCTGAGCAATGAAGTGTTGGTTTTATTCACTCAGGAAAAAGCAGTCAAAACCAAGAGATAACATCATCAGAAATTGACTCGCAACTTCCAAGTTACTTGGTTTAGCAAATAAACATGTAAAAAACCATGGTAACTGAAACAGGAAAGAAAATTACGTGAAGTATGGAGGGTAATTGAAGAAATGTGGTAGCTTGAAATCTCCCAATTTCTGCATTTTCTCTATTGCTCTCTCTGAAAATGAGTCCTATGGATGCATTTCTCTCTATAACTGAGAAATTTCAGATGGGAGGGAAGAAACTTAGCACCAATATCAATAAAATAAATAGATAAAGTAACGCAGAGATTCATAAACATATCAGGCCTAACCACTTTCCATTGATGCATAACTATTTTTGAGGTGTTAATGATTCTATGAGACTAGAAACTTGCAAACTAAGAGAGCCTTGCATTCCATAGCTAGTATAAACTTGATAAGGAAATACAAGTGGCTCTCTTTTTCTAATTTTTATACTGTTGTTGATTATGATTGGAAATGAGTATGTCAAAGTAGAATCAAGTTTCCCTGTTTTTATGAATCAGATCGAACTGTAAGGTAAAATTGGTATGGTGAAGCTATAGCTATAAGACAGCATATGGCATGATAACTTCACAAGCATAAAGTACCATACTGAAAGAACCCATAGTATCAAGGCAGGAGACCTCGTTGGAAACATCTTGGATGATAAGAGATTCGTGATTGAGCACCATTTGTGCATCGACTTGAACAAGCAAAATTGTTGAAGAAATACCGAACGACTTCATAACTAGCATACTATTGCCTACAGGAAATTGGCATACGAAATAGAATGAAGCGAAACCAAACAAAGATGATGACTTCAAGTGAGTCTGGAACGATTCTAAAGTATTTACTAGTATATACAAGTATTTTAACGGGTTAAAATCACATTTAATGATTCTAAAGTAATTCCAAACTCTTGCAAGATGATCATTATCAACGATCTAGTGCTTGAGAACAGATTGTCGCTCGACGCGCAGGCAAAACGCGATTTGGTAGCTAAAATTATCGTCCTTGAACAGTTTGGAATAATAGAACTAAACATATCCAGCCATTTTCGGAATAATTGATCGCTTGATTTCAGAGTAAAAGAAGCCAATAAACTGAGAATCAAAAACTCCAAACTGGAAATCAATTTTCCAGAATCTCGAGTATCCAATGCAGAGATACAAAAATCTTTCAAAAATCTCCTCAAGCGCAGTGTAACCATAATTTCCATAAGTGTGTTACGATATTGAGATCAATCAGTGGACACAAGATGGAAATTTAGAGACAGAAAAAGAAAATTAAATTGTACCTGTAATCAATCGCGAAAACAAGAAGATCTTTGGATTGGTTGCCAATAAAATCGTGCTTTGTGCTCGCCAAGTATCTTTCGGCTTCGTCGATCGGCTAACCAAGAAGCAAGACCGAAACAGTTCGGGTCATCGCTGCAGGTGAAAACTCGAAGCCCACTTCGGGCCCAAGATGATGAGTTTCCTCGGCCTCTCAAAATACAAATTTAATATTAATATATATATATATATATATATATATTTATTTATTTAATAGATTCTCGATATTCAATAACTTTTTAGAACAAATAAATTTATTTCTATAAATTTTTTTTTTATCTAATAAGACATTAAATTTTTAGTTTTATGATTAATAGTAAATTTTTAAAAAATTAAATTGGTCCTTACAAATAAAATACAAAGTTAATAAATTAAAGACTTGTTTAATTTTTGTAATAATTACTTAATTAAACTTATTATTTTTTTATTAATTAATTATTTTTCATTAATATTTTTAATTAATTTAAAATATTATTTTTTAGAGTAGGGTTATATTTATATCTTAAATATAAAAAACTTCAACCCCACTCTATGTTGCAATATTATAAATCACATAATTACAATTTAATATTATATTAAATTATATTTACTCCACATTTTTTAAAACAAAAAAATTAAAAATATTAATGTCAAAAAAAAATCTCAAAATTTTAATTTTATGAAAATATTGATGTTGATGGATAAAATAAAATATATATTTAAAATTGAAAATGAATTTTTGACACATTTTAAAGAAATAATTTATTATTATTATTCTTGTTTCATCCATCCATCAATAGAAAATGTTTATAATTATAAAATATAATATAATTTCCACGAAATTATCATAATTAAATCTTAAAAATATTTATGAGATTTTATCCTAAAATAAAATTTTAATAAATTATAAATTTATATAACTTAAAAAGAAAACACTTGTTTTATTTAATAATTTATCGATAATAATATATTTAGCGTGAAAAACGTTGGCGATTGAGCGCGCGCAAAAGAGCAAATGGCGTGGGAAGCATGCGAGAGAGAGAGAGAGATGTTGACTGCAAACTCATAAGAACTTGATCGATCGTTCTAAGTTGTCGCTAATTTATTCAATATTTCTCGACTAATCTCTCTTCAGATCTCATCGGCTGATCATACATTGATTCCGCAGTTGACCAGGAACTAGCAGCGATGGCAGTGTGAGTTTAATTCTTTTCCATTTGAATCGGAACTATTTTCTTTAGCTGTTGATTCAGTCAATCTGAGGCATTTTGGTAGGATCGTCTAAGCTTTGTGTATCAATCGAAATTTCGTCGCTCATATCATTTTGTCCTAATTTAACAGAATCACAGTATACGTTTAGTCTCTAATGTTAAGGATGTTATTTCGATTTTGTCGCTGTTGATTTCAATTTAGATTGTATGATTTAAACCATATCCTCACTTAAATGGCTAGGGAGGATAATTTCAGATTGTATGATTTAAGTGACTAGTGAGTGGACAAAATCTTAGATGAGAAATTAAGCCATTTCAGTGAGGATAATTTCAAATTCGTCTGAATTTCTATGAATTTGGTCTTTTTATATCTTAGGTTGATTAATTCTTCCTTTCAAGTTTTGTCAACTTACTAAGTATATTATACCATGTTGAACTATATTGACATCTGCCAATGCTAGGGACTAAATTGAAACCTTTTAAAGCGATGAGAAAAAACACTCGAGTGAAACATAAATAATGAAAGAAAGACAATGAATCAAATTTGTCACAGTTTACACCAAATTTAGATGTCTCTAGACACATGACAGTCGAGTCAATTCTAATTTTGATGCTTCTGCAGAGTTACTTCAGCTCCTGGGAAAGTATTATTGACAGGAGGATACCTGATTTTGGAGAGGCCAAATCCTGGTTTGGTACTCAGTACAAATGCTCGGTTTTATGCAATTGTGAAACCACTGCACGAGCAAACTGAGGCAGAAAGTGGGAGTGGGGTATGTTATGTCCCTTCATGATTGTACCTCGCATTTGTTATTAGTATAACAAGCCTTTTCAATTCATCTTTTGCTGTTTATGCCTTCTGATTGACTTTTGTGATTATATTTTTTACTTTATACTTCACCATCTGTCTTGCTGTTGATTGTGAAGTGCTCTTGCTTGACTGAACGTATAAATTCAGGATGCAGCATGTACATGGTTTCTTGGAGTAAAAATCTATCCTTGCTAGGCAAGGGAATTGAGGGAGAGGAAGAATAGAAGTTGGTTATTGTTTCAATGCCTTAATCCCAAATTTGCTGAATCAAGAAATTCTGGATTGAAGAATTTGTTTTTAACAATAGCATCATGATCCTTGTAAAACTGATTTTACTGGCTCAATTTTTGCACTATTTCCCGTAAAACAATTGTTTTGGCTGTTGTCGTGCTGGGTACCATTCATGTTGCATTACACTACAACAGTCTCTTTTCTTTTCTCAGGAATGGGTAGATGTGAAACTGACCTCACCACAGCTTTCTCGAGAAAGTCTATATAAATTATCGCTTGAGAACTTTACCATTCAGTCCATCGGCTTGAGGTATGTTTCTTTTCACTTGGCTTCGAACCACTTGCTCCCATGCCCCATCTATGCCCGCTAGTCTTTAATCAAGAATTTAGTTTAGCAATATGCTACAGGATGTATGCAACTTATTCTTGATTCAATGTGACTGTCCTTAATTTCAGTGAGTCAAAGAACCTTTTCGTAGAACATGCCTTGCAATATTCGTTGGCTGCTGCACATGGAATATTTGACAAGAACAAGAAAGATTCACTACACAGGTTGCTACTACAAGGTAAAACCAGTATGGTTTTCTTCAATCATTTAAAATCATTAATGCTGCGAACTTAGCTGCTAATTTTTCAAAATGGGTTAGCTTTGCAGGTCTCGATATCACAGTTTTAGGATGCAATGATTTCTACTCTTATCGGAATCAGGTGCGTGATACGTTTTGAACCCATTACTACCTTATTTATCAACATCATGCTTATAACTTAGAGATATTAGCCTGTATGGCTTTTCCTTTATGTATATTAGTAATAGTATCCCACATGCACTTATTCTTTGTTTATAGTTCTACTGATTTCTAAGGAACCATTTGTTTACAACGAACAAAAGACTGTCTGATGGAGTCGGTGACTCTTTTCTTTTTCCCTGAACAGCAAATAATTGTTCCCTTTGAAATGTGTTTCTAGGATACTGAGATTTTTCAATATTGAATCTTTGTTTGTTGAAAGGATGTTGATGAGTTGATCCCATTTCATAGATTGAAGCACGTGGACTTCCTTTGACACCAGAATCCCTGTTGTCTTTTACACCGTTTGCATCAATTACTTTCAATGCTGAAGAATCAAGTAGTGAAAATTGCAAGCCTGAAGTAGCGAAGACAGGATTGGGATCATCTGCTGCAATGACGACTGCTGTTGTTGCTGCCCTACTTAATTATCTTGGAGTTGTAAATCTTTCCTCATCAAGAGGTCAAGACAAAGAAAATGATAGTAAGGATCTTGATATCGTGCATGTTATAGCCCAAACTGCTCACTGCATTGCACAGGGAAAAGTTGGAAGTGGATTTGATATCAGTTCGGCAGTCTATGGCAGCCAACGTTATGTTCGTTTCTCACCTGACGTGCTTACCACTGCGCAGGTATTTACGCATCTGCAACCCATTATTTAGCTCTCCTTCATCCTTTTCCTTGTAATCTATATTCTTAATGACAAGAAACTGCCTGCTTACGGACTACACCGTCAAACTGAAACACTTGAATCAAAGGATTCTAATGCCAATATTTTTTTTCCAATTCATGAAGCTCTGTGAGCCTTTGTTTCTATGTTCTGAGCACTTTAAATATGGTTTCAAGATTCTTTACAATATAATCGTGATTCTCATAAACCTTCGGTAATGCTATTATTGCGCAGCATTGGCTAATCCTAATTTATATTTTCAATATAATGAAGTTAGAGCCTTCGGAGTCTTGGCTTTTCACTCATTTTTGTTTGGGCCGTGAGTTGATGGCTTGATGATGACATGTTTGAAATAACTTTTTTTGTTAAAATTTAAGTCTTTGCGGCTTTAGAATTTTAGATATTTGTCGGCAACTCATGGCCATGTTGAAACTATTATGGTATTCCTTACGAGTCCAATGAACTATCGGTTAACCTTCTTTTCTTAGTGATTACGATACAGAGACAAGTTTGTGCATTTTGTGATTAATGGGACTAATCTTAACTATTGGGACTTTTAATATCGATTACTCTTCAGTGTACTGTTAAATGAAAGAGTGGAAAATAGGGAGATTCTTTCAAGAATGAGATCAATTTAAGAAGTGTAATATTAAAAGGTAGGTTTTGTTTTTTCTTCCATGCCAAAGTTTCGCTTACAAACATCTCATTCTAAGGTTCTATCCTCAAAATTGCATTACACATCTTCTGCTTGTGAGATTTCCAAACAGCATGAATGTCTTCCTGAACTTGCGTTGTCTTTTATTCTTTTGTATAATTGCAGACAGCAGTTAAAGAACCACTAGAAGAGGTCATTGTCGGTATCTTAAAAGGAAAGTGGGACCACGAAAGGACTGAGTTTTCTTTGCCTCCACTAATGAATCTTGTGAGCAAATTGGGATTTCTCCCTTACCTTTATTTAAACAAGAATTTATAAATTTTTTATTTGCAAATATTTAGGTTAAGATTATGGTTCCTAATGCTGGATTATTTTCTTATGCTGTGCAGCTTATTCTAAAGATCTTTCGTGGATATATTCCCTTAAATATATTCACTTTAAAATAATATTTATCTACCAATCTAAATATAAATGTAGCTTAACTGGATAAAGACATTATAACCTTGACCAAAAGATACTGTTCGATATCTTCAGAGATTTGAATCTTCATTCCCATGTCGTGTTGAACTAAAAGGACGATATTGTTCAATATTCAAGCAGTTTGGTTGTGCGTGTAGTAAGACAGTAAATAACTACCCAAGTCTATCCTCTGATACTATCTTTTCTTCTATGGCCTGTTTTTTTGTCAGTTATTAGGGGAACCAGGAGCAGGAGGATCATCTACACCATCGATGGTAGGTGCTGTTAAAAAGTGGCAAAAATCTGACCCTCAGAAATCTCAAGAAACATGGAATAAGTTGTCAGAAGCAAATCTCGATCTCAAGAGGCAACTAAATTTACTAAGAAAAGTTGCAGCAGAACAATGGGATGTGTATAAATGCATCTTAAGCAAATGCAGCATGCTTGGATCAAAAAAGGTAGTTGTCAAGCTTCACTAAGTCATTTGGAGGATGCACGTATAGAATAGCTTCCATTGTTGGAAAACTATAATGAAGTGAGATAATATCTTCTTAGTATAGAAGTTTGTTTGATTGTGTCCCTGCATACTAATTTACTTCTTTTATCCATGTTTTTGTTAATTGACCTTAACATGTTACAATTTGATTTGAGTAGTGGATGGAACAAGCTACTGAACCAAACCAACAAGCCATTGTTAAAGCGCTGTTAGGGGCAAGAGATGCCATGCTCGAAATACGAAATCATATGCGGCAAATGGGCGAAGCTGCAGGCATTCCAGTAAGTCTCTTTCTTGATTTCTTCTCTCTTTGATCTTGCATTAAAATACAGTTTTGATCCCTTTACTACGAGAGATCTGTTTAAAGTCCATGTCCTTTCAAAATTTAGTCCCTAAACGTTTAATAAATCTTAAAACTAGTTTTACGGTTATTGTTAACTTTTACAAAGAGAATAGGCCCAAAATTTATTGACCAAAACTAGTTTAATAAATCTTAAAACTAATAATAAGTCCTAATCTTAAAATTTATTGAAAATACAATAACTAAATTTGGATATTTACAAACACTAAAAGAGAATAGGCCCAAAATTTATTGACCAAAATGATATTTTAACCCTAAACTTTCTATAACTTCAATTCCCTCCGTTACTCATTGTCGATGGAAAGTACATCTGAAGCAACGAACGGAAAATCATTTCTGTCTGAGCATAGCTTAGTAAATAAGACATTCATTATCATCCCAAATATTGATTATTCGATCATCCTCTCTACAATTGTTAAACTAAAAAAAAAAAAAAAAAAGAGTAAACCATCATATGGCATTCTATGCTCTCAACGTATCAGAACATTTCGGTCCAAAGAATACAAATAAAAAGTACCTGAGTTGTATTGTTGGGTATATATGCAGATTGAGCCCAAGTCACAAACTGAGCTATTGGATAGAACAATGGAATTGGAAGGAGTTTTGGTGGCTGGAGTTCCAGGGGCAGGTGGGTTTGATGCTGTTTTTGCTATTACATTAGGTGATTCTAGCAGCCATGTGATTCAGTCATGGACTTCACTCAATGTTCTTGCCCTCTTGGTTAGAGAAGATCCCAATGGAGTTGCTCTAGAATGCGGTGATCCTAGAAGTAAGTGTATGGCACCTTCTGTTTAAACCCAACTTTTCTATCGTGTTCCTTTTATTATGTTTTCATCTTGTAGTTTGATGGATAATGGATTGGGGTTTTATCATTTTAACTGCTTTGATCATCAGATTTTTTTGAGAATATATATTGGTTAAATTATAATTTGGTCCAATTATGGAAAGTCTGTCTTCAACAGGTTCCCAATCCAAATCTGGTATTTAAATATGTCAAAATATTAGCACTTTAAAGCTATTTCTAGAATGAAACGAGATTGACGAGTATCTGAGTTTGGGTTGGTGTAACAATCAAAGACCATAACTAGTAGATATTTTTTGTTTTGGCCCGTTATATATTGTCGTCAGCTATATATTTTAAAAATATGTCTAATTGACGGCGATACGTAATGGGGCCTAAGCGAGCGATATCTGTTAGCGGTGGACTTGTGGCTGTTACAAATGCTATCTGAGCTAGACACTAAGCGTTGTCTCAGCGAGGACTTTGGGCTCTTAAGGGGGTGGAGGATTGTGAAATCTCAAATCGGTTAGAAAGGAGAATGAGCATTCCTTAATAAAGGTGCAAAAACTTCTCTATAGTAGACGAGTTTTAAAATCATGAAGTTGAGACGATATGTAACAAGTCAAAATGGTCAAAATGAATGAACATTATAAATCGTTAGTTTAGTAAATAAAAAAAAAAAAAAAGTACATTTGTGTATATTAATAAAGCTGTTGGAATCTAGTTATGATAGCCAAAGTAGCTATATTATTCCAATTATTAAATATTAATACTCAATATCTAATTTACTATAAGATAACTATTGGAGATGCTTATGCTTTAAATTTCAAACAATTTAGTTCAATCTAATTTATTTAATAAAAAAATTATTATTATAAAAAAATGAATCAATAAAAAATAATACATTTTAAGAAAAATTTAATTCAAAAGATGGATTCGACGTAATTTAGCAAGTAAAAGTAAATTGAAAAATAGTATAGCTTACAAGATTGCCCCAATATTCTCTAATAATTGCTTTCTGCCCCCTACTACAAAAGCAATTTCAAAGGAGGCCCTACAAATTCTATTTTTGTCTCATATTTATTTCGAGTTGTTGATTATATTGTGTAACGAAAAATCCAATTTAGTTATTATTTTTAGAAAGAAAAAAAGAAAAAAAAGGAAGAAAATTATATTTATTTATTTATTTGAGTTGAGAGAATGGGGCAGAAAGAAGAAAGGACAGAAAGTTGAGGACAAAAAAGAAAATAAAAGAAAAAAGTAGGGGGCCGTTGGCAATAAATATAATAAGTTGGTAACTAATAAACCAAAACCCAATAATTCTGCTCTGTACTCCCCCACCTTTTATTCAGATAATAATAATAATAATAATAATAATAATAATAATAATAAAATACGAATTATTTATTTATTTATTTTTAATTCAGTTTCTCTCTGTAACTTAATTTTGTAGGTCCCACTTCCAAAATTTGATTTGCAGTCCTCCACGTGGTTATCATTAAAATCACCTCCTTGTGGGCCCCACCCAGTGTGAGTGGTTATTCTCAATGGCGTTTGAATAATGAAGAGAAGATTTAAATTTACGACTCCGTTTAGTTAATAAAGGTCGTTAACTTTTATTTGGTTTTTACAATTAAATTAATATTTTTAGTCTTTTAAATTTTATATTCATATCAAAAACTTAATTTTATTTTTAATGAATCTAAATTTTTATTTCTAAATTATATAATAATAACATATTAAAAATTAAATTTGGGACCTACAAAACTCGAATAATCAAATAAAATAAAAAATTATTTGACTTTTTAATTTTTATTTTTTAAAAAACTAAGCATAAAAATAATGTTTTTTTTTTTTTTTGCTAGAAATAAAATGAATTGTTTTTTACTTTATTTAAATTATAAAAACTGAACTTTTTTATCTATTTTTTTCTAAAACTTTTAGGTCAAAGTTTTAATTTTCAATTTTTTTTTATAAAAAAGATGTGGAATCATTGTACGGAAAGAAAAAAAAAACACAATTTTAAATTTTAGCTTTTTTATTTGGGTGAAGAATCTAAATGTTTCTTTATAAAAATAAATAAATTTATTGTAAAAAAATAAGAAAATAAGTAAAAAAAAAAATTAAATTTTTATAAATATATTGACTAATTATACTTTTCCCTTTACTTTTTGCTTTTTCCTTCCCTTATTCCTTTTTTTTTTTTTTAATGATGAGGTGTCAGCAGGTTGATCTGAATTTTATTTATTTATTTTATTATTATTATTATTATTATTATTATTATTATTAAAGATAATGTTGGATCCTATTAGTTAAAACAATGTTGAGATAAACTTTTGGAAGGCATGAATTTGCCAACTAATAATAATAATAACTAGTTAATACATAATACATTTATTTTAAATATTAAATATTTAATTTTTTTATTTAAAATACAATATATAATAAGTAACGGTTAAAATTAATTTAAATTTGAAGATTAAAATAAGATTTTATTTTATTTTTATCAATATAATAAGATAAATATAATCATCTTAAAACAATATTATATAGGGATAAATATATTAAAAATCCTATTTCTTTATTTATTTATTTAAAAGGTATTTACCAAAATAAATAAAATAAAATGTAATGCAACTAAAAAGACTATTATTATTAAATAGAAGTCAGAAAATAATAATGAAGAATTCAAATTACAATTATGGAGTCAAAGTTAACGATACCGTTACCGTCAAAATGGAGATGATTGCCCACGCTCTTCGAAGCGCTTTGAAACTGCAATTCCATGTTATAAATATCTTGGTCGTGTTCACCTTTGTTGTCACGCGATTGGTAGGCGCGTGGACCAATAGTTCCAAGGACAACCGTCTGTCCCTGTAACCAGTCTCTCTATCTATCACGAACTCAAATTACATTAGAATTAGTGGGACCCACTTATTTATATATATATATATATAATTTTTTTGGATAATTTTTACAAACGGTTGTAATATTAATATCGGTGTTATATTGGTGACTTAACAATTTATAAAAATTAAATTAATGCCAAATATAAATAAAATATTCCATTATACCTTACCAAAAAAAATCAAAACTATCACAATTTTCAAATAAATACTTTTTAAAATCATAATATTTTAATTAATTTAGAGTATTAAACGTTTTTAAATTTTTTATTATGGTAATAAAAAATTAAAATATTTCGATGAGATCATATAAAATAAGGTTTTAATATTATCATTATAAATAAGTTTAAAATTATAATATTTTAATAGTTGAAATTTTTTTAATTCAACCATTTTGGTAATAAAAAATTAAAATACCCCGATGCGATCGCATAATTTTTTTTTTTAATATAATAAATATAAATATAAAGATCTAAATAAAATTTATAATAATTTTAAAAAAAATGTGAATAAATATATTTAATGGGACTGGATTGGTTAAGACAATACCCTCACTTCCGAGTCCTACTCTCTGTATTTGCTTTCTGCTTCGCTTTCACCATTTTTGGGGGTCTTCGTCTTTTCGCTCGTCCATGGTGGTGGATTTTGCAGTCCCTTTTGCCTTTGGGTTCCAAAAGCTCCAACAATCCTTAAAAAGCCGCCTCTCGGCCTCCCTGGTTCGCTCTCATTTTGTCACTTTCTTCATGTTTTTTCTACTTTACTCTCTCTAAAGCTCTACTGTTTGCGCTTCAAAAGGGTTTTTCTCTATCTCTGTTCACAACTTTTGGTATTTATTAGCTTTTGATTCTTGTGGTTTTGTTGAGCGTGTTCTTCTTTTTCTTTTTGTTTGTTTATAATTTATTGTTTGTTTGACTGTGATTTTTCAACTCTTGGATTATAGGGATGCCTTCGTCTACTCTTTTTTTGTAAAATATTGTTCGATTTAGCGGTTTGGGTGTCTTGATTTTGACTGGAAGATAATTAGGGCTTTTGATTTTGAAGTTTTCGTAGTATCTTTTAAGTCAGATTCGAACTAGGAATTGTTAATCCAGGGCTGCTGATGAATGCTTTTGTTTATCTTTGTTGATTGTGAAGATTTTTGACGTTTTGTTTGTGGATGTTGTTGTAGGGAGCTAGATATAGACGAGAGTTCTTCTATCTCGAACGTGTTCATAAGTTCGATTTAGTATTCGTATCGTAAATCTAGTGTATGTCGTCCGAAAACGAAAGAATGGAGGAAGAAAACTGGAGGAAATTGGTGAAGGAGATGCTCCCTCCTGGAGTATCTATCCCGGAAAGTGCTGGTGATTTGGATTACTCCATAGCTATGGAGTATGAAGGTCCACCAGTAATCTATGACGTCCCGAGAGTCGAACCTGTTGATGTGAATCCTCATTCGATTCCAATGGCTGAACCTTTATCTGAATCCCAAAGGTCCATTGCTTGTAATGGTCCTCCGACGATTGAACCGATTCCTTTGCCAGTTTCTCGTATTGTTGGTGTCATGAGTTCCCCTACTCAGAGTCCAAGGGTATCAGGAAGTTCGGAGTCTGTAGTATCCGTCCTGCAAAACCGTGATTTCTCTTCAGCTTCACCTTCTGCCTCCCCAGCTTCGGTTCATAACGTTCCTAGCAATCAACCGAAACAAGTGGTTATCGATGCGAGGAGAGCACCTGTTGTCACTTTTAATACTAGTGTCGATCACTCCCATCGAAAGGAACTTAATGTCGAGAAGCAAGTGTATCCAGAGTACGTCGGAGTTTCAAAAGAGAAGAAGAAAAAGAAAACTCGAGTATGTTATAGGTGTGGGAAAGGAAAGTGGGAAACGAAGGAGTCGTGTTTAGTTTGTGATGCTAAGTATTGCGGTAGCTGTGTCCTTAGAGCCATGGGATCGATGCCTGAAGGGCGTAAATGCGTTACTTGTATCGCTGCTCCTATAGACGAGTCTAAGAGGTCAAAATTGGGCAAGCATTCGAGGGTCTTGTCTCGATTACTTAGTCCTTTAGAAGTCAAGCAGATTATGAAAGCTGAGAAAGAATGTCCTGCTAATCAGCTTCGACCCGAACAGCTGATTGTGAATGGATTACCTCTACGGGCCGAAGAGATGGCCGAATTACTCGGATGCCCTCTTCCTCCACAGAAATTGAAACCTGGTAGATATTGGTACGACAAAGAATCTGGTCTCTGGGGAAAGGTGACTATAACATACCGACGTTAGCTTTCTTCTGATATTTATTGTTTCGCCAAATACACACGCTTTCGTCTCTGCAATGAGAACTTCATGAACTACTTTTGTGCTGATCTGACAGGAAGGAGAAAAACCAGATAGAATCATTTGTTCGAACTTGAGTTTCACCGGGAAGCTTAGCCCCCATGCAAGCAACGGAAACACCGAAGTTTACATCAATGGTCGAGAAATCACTAGACTCGAACTAAGGGTGCTTAAGGTACAACTTTCGGCTTCGTACTTAGATCAATCTAGTGATACCATATATAATGCCTTATTTTCTTACATTCCTTAATCATAGCTTGCTCGCCAAAGGTCTACACTAGTTAAAAATAAGCTTGGAAATGCTCGAGATGTTTTGACTTGTATGTTCTACAGAAACTTTGTTCTGTCTCAAAAAATCGCATGGATTGTAATGTATGAATGGTGTAAGTAATGACCGATCAAGACGTCTTTTTTTGTAACGCCAAGTCTTTTGGAGGTTAGCATTACTTTGTAATATTTCACATATCTTCGAAACGTACCAAAACCTTTCGTAGCTTGTTGGCTATGTGGGGGACTGAGTTGAGACTTGGTAAACACCACGTGTCGTAGATTCGGTCCAATTTTGGTGGAGAGAAGGAAGAACAAAGAACACACATCATTGAAAAGTTGTGTGCGTGTTTTTTTTTTGGTTTTGAAAAATTTATCAAGGAAGAAGAATGTGAGGAACGTTCAACTTGGAGTCGTTAATCAGCTCGAATTATTTATATTGTTTAATTTTTTTTGGAGTTGGTTGGCTGATGGCTTCTCCTACTCTTCTACTGACCGGTATTGCATTATTTTCAGCCTCCTCATCACGTGGATTGCTCGATGAGAGCTCTTGATTTAGTTTAGTTTGCTCATTTGCTATGAAAAGTATCTCCGTGTCTACTTAAAAAACAAAGTTTTCGATTATGAACTCAGTTCCCTTTAGAAGTCTAATGGTTTGTGGATTCGGTTATAACTAGACCTATTCGATGCGATTACTTTTCAGTTGGCAAATGTACAATGCCCACGAGACACACATTTTTGGGTCTACGATGACGGTCGGTACGAGGAAGAAGGTCAGAACAATATCAGAGGAAATATTTGGGAGAAGGTGCACATAGTACTTTTTGAATGAAGTTTAACCTATGTGGAATTGATCCTTTTGATATCGAGAACCTTATATATGCTTCGAATAAGGCAGGCTTCGACACGCTTTGTCTGTGCATTGTTCTCATTGCCCGTGCCACACGGTCAACCACCACCTGGAGTGAGAGAAGAGGCTAGCAATTATACAACAGTTCCCAACTATTTTGAGCAACAAAAAAGGATTCAAAAACTTCTGCTCATCGGGATCGAAGGCTCGGGAACTAGCACCGTCTTTAAGCAGGTACGCTTGTTATCATTATTGCTGTTATTTTGCTTCACCAATGTTTTAATTGGATGTTCAGAACCTTGGACAACTTATATGTACATGTGTTGATAGAGTTGGTTAATCTGTATGCTAGGCCAAGGAATTTCTTTTTTACGAAGGATAAGCGGATTCCGCCGCTGCTAGCAGATATTGTCTTCTTTGAGTTTTCCCTTTCGGGCTTCCCCTTAAAGTTTTTAAAACATGTCTGCTAATGAGAGGTTTCCACACCCTTATAAAAAAATGTTTTGTTCTCCTCTCCAATCGATGTGGGATCTCATAATCCACCCTCCTTCGAGGCCCAGTGTCCTTGCTGGCACTCGTTCCCTTCTCCAAGAGATGTAGGACCCTCCAATCCACTCCCTTCGGGACCTAACGTCCTTGCTGGCACACCACCTCATGTCCACTCCCTTCTGGGCTCAACCTCCTTGCCTCGTGTCCACCCCCCTTCAGGGCTTTGCCTCCTCGCTAGCACATTGTCCTGTGTCTGGCTCTGATACCATTTGTAACAGCTCAAGCCCGGTGTTAGCAGATATTGTCCTCTTTGGACTTTCTCTTTTGAACTTCCTTTCAAGGTTTTAAAACACGTCTGCTAGGGAAAAGTTTTCACATCCTTATAAGGAATATTTCGTTCCTCTTTTCACAATCAGCTCCTTTAAAAAACAATTTAGAAAACTACCATCTTCAATGCTTGTTTTTGTTTTTTTTGGCAGGGAAAATTTTTGTATGGGAACAGATTTAATCAAGAAGAGCTTCAAGATATCAAACTTATGATTCAGAGTAACATGTATAAGTATCTCAGCATCCTGCTTGACGGTCGAGAACGCTTTGAGGAGGAGTTCATAAACCGAAAAAAGGCTCCAAATTCTCGGGGGTATCAAGCTCTCGACACTAGTAAGACTTTCTTCCACCCTTTTCTCATTACACTTCTTATTGAAATGATACAAATGCTTCTCTAATTACAAAGTTTTCTTTTCAAAGATGGAGAGAGGGAGGTTAGCGAATGCATATACTCCATCAACTCGAGGTTAAAACATTTTTCCGATTGGCTTCTCGATATCATCGCTACCGGAGATTTGGATGCATTCTTCCCTGCTGCAACTCGCGAGTATGCTCCATTAGTCGAAGAGCTATGGAAAGATCCTGCGATCCAAGAAACGTACAAGAGAAAAAACGAGCTCCACTTCCTTCCCGATGTTGCCGAGTACTTCTTAAGCAGGGTAATCCTTCGCTTGCTCATCAATTTCTTCATCATTATACTTGATTTTCTGAACCAGAATGTTTGTATTGGAAATAACATCATCTGCCATCATCTATCTTAGCTTTGGCTTAGGAATGATTGAATTGTTGGGAGAAAATGCTTAGAATTTGTGATTGTTTCAGGCTGTTGAGGTGTCGAGCAATGAATACGAACCTTCCGATCGAGATATCCTCTACGCAGAAGGGGTGACACAAGGGAATGGATTGGCTTTCATGGAATTTTCACTTGACGATCGGAGTCCAATGTCTGAGACCTACATTGATAATCTCGAAGCTCCACCCCCGCCCCTTACTCGGTAATATATGCTCCCATTCTACTCCCTGAAAGTGTTTCCAAATTTGTAGCCACTTAAATTTGTATTCTATTGTTACAGATACCAACTTATAAGGGTAAGTGCAAAGGGGATGAATGAAGGGTGCAAGTGGGTAGAGATGTTCGAAGACGTTCGAGTCGTTGTCTTCTGCGTTGCTCTCAGTGATTTCGATCAGATGTCTCTTGCTGCCGAAGGTAGTGGCAGCGGGAACCTATTACAAAACAAGATGATGCAAAGCAAGGAGCTCTTTGAGACAATGGTCCGACACCCTTGCTTCAAAGATACCCCATTTGTTTTGATACTCAACAAGTATGACCTCTTCGAAGAGAAAGTAAACCGGGTATTGTTGAATGTTTGTGAATGGTTTAACGATTTTAGCCCCGTTCAACCACTGCACAACAACCAGTCACTCAGTCATCAAGCGTACTACTACGTAGCCATGAAATTCAAAGACCTTTATCAATCCATCACTGGTCGTAAGCTTTTTGTATGGCAAGCTCGAGCGAGGGACCGAGTGACTATCGACGAAGCATTCAAGTATATAAGAGAAGTTGTCAAGTGGGACGACGAGAAAGAAGAGAACTACTTTGGACCTGAGGATTCCTTCTATAGCACAGGTGAGCTCATCTCCATTTGTTAGACAACAATGATGGACAGAGATTTCTTGTACTAGTTTCATAAATAGTGTCAAAAGTGAAGCTCACTTTCCTCTTACCTCTCCTTGGATCGAATAAGGTTGTTCTTGCCATTTTTTGAAGTTTAGATATCTTCTCATGCCATATAGCAAGCCTGCAGCCCTATGTTCTTCATACTTTAAAGTTTCGTTATAAGAAAATTGATTAGCATTCAGCTCAGTAAAACTCAATTGTATGCAATAAAAGTAACAAATACAGAAGTATAATATCCAATCTTAAGTCTGTTCTCTACTCCTCCAATTCATGCTCACTTTTAAAACTAACTAGACTGAAGTAGAGGCTTCTGCTTCCTAAAAAATAGTTCAAGAAAGCAGTAGGTAAGATGAAAAGACAGCTTGAAAACCAACCAGCACATGAACATTATAGAAAGGATCAGTTGGTCCCTGGCTTTTGTTTTGTCCCTCTCCCCTTCTTTCTCCTTTGCTAAGTTGTTTCGATATGAAATGAAGAGGATTATGATGCGACTAGATCGGGGGTCTCGGCCTCAACTGAAAGCAAAGTCGAATGTACTTTATCCACCCAGTTGTCTAGCCGGTCTCGAAGGGATTTGATCTGTTGAATGCCCAGAACTCTAGGTTGCACCCAGGAAACATGTACTGTCCCCTCGACTTGATCGATTATACCTTCTATAAGGTGGACCTGCAAATAAAAAACATTCAGTTTTTCTTTCATTGGTCTTCTAATAAAAATGGTATAATCATCAACTACTGACATTGGTAAACGACCTAATAGCAATAAGTCCTGTTTGAAGAGGCTCATATACGCATCAAAATTTACAAGTTAAGAAAAGGAATTCATCAGAAAAGGTCAGATCTGTAGTTGCACCTCATAGCATTCACCACACAGAAATACAAAGCTTAATGCTCCCTTTCAGCATTGTCAAGTGAATGAATGGTTGGTCTTTTTTTTTTTATTATTCAACTGCCTAGAAAGTTATGATAAAATAGTTTATTTCAACAAAACGAGCTTTCTTTTCATTCATCCAACTTGCTGATTTTTCTACATATTTAATCTAGAAAGAATTTGGCAACTTGAACATAGCTTGGTCGGATTAAAGCATATACCCTCAATATACCCTCAAATAAAAGATCGTAAATTCGAATTCAGCCCGTATGTTAAAAACTAATCTAAAACAAACTTTTATGCCTTCCAAAATAATCTCACTGCTGCTTTTCCTTTAGTGCATCAAAATTTCTCTTGGCCAACTTATTTTAATTTCAAGTGACCAAGTTAGTGGACAGATTTGAACCAATTCTTCGGAGAAAATAACTACAAGGGATACTTACAGAGAGGCTCTTCATTAGTAGATGCTCCACATCCTCTATAGAAAGTTTTGTCCTTTCTGCTATAACCTTCAATGGAATAGTCCGATCTTCAGATGGCCGGCTGCAACAAAACCAAATTAGCACAAAAATGATATAGAAAAATCAAGATATTGGGCAGATAACCAGCAGACAAAGGAGCAAAGCTTGCATGCCTGAAGATAATTTCCATAAGGCAGAGAATGTTGATTTTCTCCAATAGTTTCTTCTCATTCTCAACTAAAGCTGGTTGAGCCCTTAAAGCTGCATTATGCACTTGACACAATTCTTGATAGCGAACTAAATCACCCGCATTGAATGCCTGAAGTATGTAGTACAGCCACTCTACCTTTGTGCCCAACAGACTTTTGATCTGAACAACAAGAAGTTACACACACATATCAGGTTTGAAGTCCAAAATAAATAGAGGCATGAAAAGATTTAAGTATTGGCAACAATATTCACACAAAGATAGCAATGGTAAGGATTGCAGGATGATAACCATGTTATAAATACAAAGGCCATTGTACTCGTCCTCACACTAAATTATTTGTTAAAAAAAACAGTGATATTTTAGTTTACTCCACCTCAAGGAGAAAAGATCAACATAAACGCTTGAAGGCAATGCAAAATATGATATAAAGAGAGCAGAATAATAATGAACTACGGTGCAAATTCTCACAATAGGATGTGCAAGAAGCTCCCCAAAGTTGTAGATGTTATCTCCCAGAAGTGCAGAAAGAGACAAATCAAAGGCCAAATCCTACAAGGAAACAACAGGCAATAATTTAAATAACGAAATAAAAACATGAGTCAAGTATGGATAGAGGATAAGAACCCATCAAGCGTTGGATATTATGATCTGAGCCAGTATCATGTTTGAAAGGGAAAAAAGGTTATAAAAAGATAATGAACTGTATACAACGAAAACTATTCATCATACCAATTTAAAAGAGTCTGACAGTGACTCCACTGAAGTATATGCCAGATAAAGAAGAGCACTTTTATAGAACTCAGCAAACTCTTGGCGAAACTTATAAAACTGAGATGAAACCCAGTAATAGCTAGCATAGACAGATGGATCAATGTCGGTCATGCTGTCAAGAGTGCTCTTTCCATCCTCCAAAAGTTTCTTGCACTCTTTTCGGTCACCTTGCTCAAGCTTAAAAATAGATATTTGCATCTTAATATAGAGGATGGGCTCCTCTATGCGCTGCTCTTTAGTGCTCCTTAGCTTCTCGATTATCCCTTCAAGATAACTAATAGCAGCTTCTTTCTCTGCATATTGCCGAGAAACAATCACTGCAAAATGTGCAAGCTTGAGAAGATTGATTTTGGTCTCAAAATCAGTGATGAAGTTGTGATACAACTGAATCAGTGCATCACCAGCCTGAACATTAAAACACAAAAAAATATTAATTGAATATGGGGTTTCTGCATAAAGAAAGGTAGATAAATCATGAAATCTTGGTAAAATTCAACTGAATATTCAAATATACAAGGATTCACCAGATAAAACATACATTCGCTGGCTCAAAATAATTTAAAACTATTTCAGCTCTAAAGCAATACCCATTGAATACAACAATTATCCTCTCCTTAGTCTCAACATCCAAAGATCGTATTCTTTAAGAAAAAGGAGAGCAAGTCAGTCAAAGTCAAGAATTAACAAAGACCCCAGTTCATGCTTACTATCTACCAAAATGCTTAAGTTGTTCATGGTAGGCTAAGGCAACTTTGATCTTTCGATGAAAGCCTCAACACTTCTCTATCACATACACCTAACATGCAGGTTATGAACAAGAAATGTAAAGAAAATTACATGGCAAAGATTGGGAGACAATTTCTTGCTCTACTTTAGTCTAACAAAAACTTATTCTCGATCCATTCTTTACAAATGAGTAAAGTCGTAACGCTCCAACTAAGAAATGCCCCACATTCTGTCGATCATTCTAACTTATACGCTCCAACAACCGAAATGTGGGGGGTACTAACATGTCAACTACTCTGAATCCAAATTTCAGTAAGCTAAAAGAACCGCTTTAGCAAAAATCCCAACTCCACGATCTTCTCCGAAAGAACCCTAAATTTCCATTCATTTCGCCATCAATAACTCAATCTTAACATTTGCAGACTCAAAACCCTAACAGCATCCATCAAGAAACCAAAGCATCTAAAAGCTGAAATACTAACACAAACTCATGAAATTAAAATGTTAAAATATCCATTAAAAACGTAGTAAGTTAAAGAAACCGACCTGGAAGACGGTCAGGGCGACAAATTGCTCAAGCTTGAGTGTGAGCTGATGCCAAAGCTTCTTCTGGTACAGATCTGCGAGCGAATTGTACCATTCGGAGAGTTCAGGATGCGAGTTACGAAGCGAATCGAGGTACTGTAAAGCGGCCATGGCTGCTATTCCGGCTATGGATTCTGGAAGGGAAAAAACGAGAGCTCCGATTTATAAAACTTGTGCCTCTTCCTCCTTATTTCTTGTTCTCAAAGAAAAGAACGGAAAATCGGAGGAGAGCTTTTAGAGGGGCTTTACGGTAAATTCGCATGGTCACACATGTAATCGGGTTGAAAATGACCCGACCCGATTCAATGTTGGTCGGATCGGGTTGACAATATCACATTTATACCTTCTCAACTTTAGAAGATTTTATTATTATTATTATTATTAAACTAAATTAATAAAAATATCACACAAAATAAATTTTTTAAATAAATATTTAAAACTATTGTATACATTAAATGATATCATATGATAGAGTGGTTTCAAATTGTTACGATCCATGCACAGGATTCGGAATTCGAATTCGGTATCTAATGACCCCGACATTCCATAGTCACGTTACCTACTCATCGTTTCTTAAAAGTGAAGATTATTCACACATACCAACACGAGTCCTTCCAGTATATGTTTTGTCCTCAGTCACTTAATCTATTGCTCCAAACAAAACACTCAAACATGGAATTCTATGATCGAGCCACCGAAAATAAAAGTGCACCATACCGGTACCCATCAGATTTCAAATCTGAATTTTAATTTTAAGCATGTATCGTTACACAAATGAAACGGATTATCTCGTGGTCAAGCGAACGTATATATATTCTAAGATCTCGTATTTAAACCTATTGTTTTGATCACTCCCCCTCAACTTTTTGGTCAAAATTATAATATTTTAATCCATAGAACAATTCCCTTTTTCATATTAAAAGCAAAATCAAACCAACTTATTTTAAAAAATTAAACAAATAAATATTTTGCATTCATATTTTTTAATAATAAACTAAAATTTGAAAATTTGAAAATTTGAAAATTTTATTTTATCTTTAACAAAAATGAAATTCGTACCTAAATGATGAGAAAATAAATAAAAAAATTACAGAAAAGAAAATATATATTTTATCTATTTATTGAAGACAGATTATTTATTAATTTATTTACTTATTTTTATAGTACAGAAATAAATGTTTTAGTTGAGGAGAGGTATGTGTACATACAATTATTTCCCACTTTTCTTTAAGAAGAGGTTTTCTTATTATTATAATAGTAATAAATTATTAAAAACTACTTAATATTGAAATTTAATTTTTAGAAATGACGTTGGTTAAGGTGTACTTACTCGCTAGTAAAGTGAATTATTCGACTTTTATGGAGGCATGTTGTGTACTAGTAGATTGGTTAACCGTAATCGAATTGTTTTATTTATTTCTCCTTATTCATACCTATAAGACTGGAGAGCAATATAAGTTGCAACTTTGTTCAATCGCCCGGATCTTACAACTTTGTTGACATTGGTGTTTTTGGTAAATAGGCCTGGTCACTACAGCTCCTTTCGTGAGGAGACACCCTTCTCTCGAATCTATCACGTAGCCATGTGTTGGCACTTATACTTAACCAATAACCCCGAACATTCTTCCTTGGGTTTTGAGATCTTAGATGTAATAGCCCGATGACACTGCTGGTAGATATTATCCGTTTTGGTCCATTACGTAATGTCGTCATCCTCAGTTTTAAAATGCGTCTCCTAGAGAGAGGTTTTCACACCCTTGTAAGAAATTTTTTGTTTCACTCTCCAACCAATGTGAGATCCCACAATCCACCAGTCTAATGTCCTCACTGGCACATCACTCGGTGCTTGTCTCTAATACTATTTGTAACAGCCCGAGACCACCGCTAATAAATATTATCCGTTTTGGTTCGTTACGTAACACTGTTAGCCTCACGATTCTATAACGCGTCTACTAGGGAGAGGTTTCCACACCCTTACAAGGAATGCTTCGTTCCTCTCTCCAACCGATGTGGGATTTCATACTTGATATCGAAATAGTACCTAAACGACAAAACTAATAGAGATAACACGAAGTTGAAGATTTGAAGGCTAAACTTTTCATATAATTTATATAAACACTCACCTGTGACATGTGACATGGTATTGTACATGGAAAAACAACAATGAGATGGGGTACAAACTTTGAAAAATATTGTATAGGCAAGTCTAGATTCCATATGAGAAGTAATTAGTTGAGCTATATCCCGGATTCCTCGAGTAGGTTTAGGATGTTATGTTCAGGAGCACTCATTGATGGTAAGATTGTTCGTGTTACCCGTGGTCTAGTCTCACCGATTTCGGGTTCTTTCATGACAGGCATATCTGGCATTCTTCGAAGACTCGATACTCGTTCCTTCCATATTCTTCCGTCCTAGAGGTCAAGGAGTTCAAAATCAGATCTCAATACATATCACAAACCTACAACTTTCACTAATAAGTTTGGAAAATCAACAAGGAAGCCAGAGGTTGGAAAATACACCGCTAGCGGATATTGTCCTCTTTTGAGTTTTACTTATGTGCTTCCCCTCAAGGTTTTAAAATTTGTATGTAGGAGAGGTTTCCACACCCTTATAAGAAATGTTTTGTTCCCCTCTCCAACCAAGGTGGGATCTCACAATCCACCCCTCTTGAGATCCCAGCGTCCTCGCTAGCACACCACCTGATGGCTGGCTCTGATACCATTTGTAACCGCCCAAGCTCACCACTAGCACATAGTCCTCTTTCGATTTCCCTTATATGCTTCCCCTCAAGGTTTTAAAATGCAACTACTAAGGAGAGGTTTCCACATCCTTATAAGAAATGTTTCATTCCCCTCTCCAACCGACATGGGATCTCACAATATAATCAATCAAATAGGTATTAAGCCGAACAAAATCGTATAAGAAGATCGAGTCTGCAGCTTACATTCAGAATAGACGGTTCAGGCAACGGGCACTGAATTGGCCTGTCGTTGTCGAGAGGCTCGATCGGGTGTTCAACAGGCTTGAACTCCACAGCCACTTCAATTCCATGAGAAGCAGCAGCAGCAGTGGTATCACTAACACCAGTACTTTCTGGGATTGAAGGCAGTCCTTCTCTTCCATCCTGCATCAAAATTACCCTAAATATCCTACTAAAAGTTCAACAAATCCACAAAAGTAAAGAAAAACAATGACCCAGATGGTAATTTCCCGAGTAGAACAGGACAAGTAAAAGATCAAGTATGAAAAGATCTCAGAAACAGCCATGGAATCGATTCTTTTTTAAAAAAATAGACCAAAATCAGCACTAGATTCGAGTTTCATATGACCTAAGTCAAAGAATTCTACAAAAATGGCGGGTACAGATTCCAATTCATTAAAAGTCAACCAATCTAGCAGCCATGAACAACCAAGAATTGGTATACACTTTAAACGTTTAGACAAGAAACAGCACATCAAGAGAACAGAACAAGTTCAGATTCTTCAGAAACAGAAAGAACAATCAATCATCAAACCCATAGCTTCAATTCCTTAAAATCCCCCAAAAAAAGCGACCAATTCATAGCAATATTCATATTCAAATAAAGAGAAGAAGCAACTTACAAGTGCACTTTGAGCTCGTCGATGCCCTGTTCTACTAGAAGAAAACCTTGAAAATATGCCCACCATCTGTTCGACAAAATGCCAAAACAAAAATTACTCACAAAAACGAAATAGGTATTGAAATCTCTGTCTCAGAGTCTCTAATTCCCTTTAAAATAGTGCAGCAGCAGAGGCCATGGACAAATACGAGAGTCCAAAAATTTTCAAACCCAGTAAGGATCGGATCACGACCAATCCAATCCAACAGAGAAACAGAAGTCGCTTTCTCTCTCTTCAATTCAAGAGAGAGAACAAGAAGATGAACTTATAGCTGCGGTTTGGATGATGAAAACTGTGCGTAGCGCTTTACTTGACGAATGGGGCTTTTGATTCTTTTTCTTTTATGCGAAGTAAAATTGAAGCGATCAAAATTAATAATGAAAATGATAAAAGCTGTGAAGAATATGGAAATGTCGGTTTGAAACAGAAAATAACCATAAATAAATAAATTAATTAATTAATTATTGCATTAAAATTTTTATCTTAACCTAATTTTTTTTACTTTTAAATGTTTAAATTTACCCTTATATCTCATTGAATCTTAAAATTATTTTTTTATTGATTTAAGGTTAATTTTACAATAAAAAGATAAAACATATATATATATATATATTTACGTAATATTTTTTTTAAATATCATATTATATCTTTTTTTAATAGAAATTATTATTATATCAAACTGAAATAAAAATAAACATCAAAGTAATCATAAACCCTAATTTTAATATTTATTGAAAATAGTCTAAATTATAGAATTAAAATAAATAGAGAATATTTGTTTTTTTTTTTTAAATGGGAGAATAAAAAATATTTATCCGTGTAATTTTTTAATATAAAATATGTCAGAATTGTAACCTTCGACCTTAAGGTAAGAATGTGTTGTACTCACTTTAATCAATGCTCCGACATTTATTATTTATTTTTTTCATTAAATATTTGTTAAATTCTTTTTTTTTTCTTTTAAATTTAATAAATAATGCGGTGTAAAATTAATTATTTAAAAATAATAATAAGTGTCTTATCATATTTGAAATAATTTGAGATAAGGTGGATGATGAGATTGGCATATTTACTAAAAATATTGTTTGTTTAATATTTCAATTTAGTTAAATAAATGATAAAATATTTTATAAAAAAAATATTAAATTAACTCTAATGAAAAAAGGGTGTAAATTTAAAGCTCGAGTTAGTAAAAAATGATTACGGTTTTTATTGATTTTTTATAGGGTAAGGATGAAAGATGGCTGAACCAGATTTGGATCGGGATTGCACCAACCTCAAGAACATTGAGCAAGACTATTTAAAGTGGGGCCCACCATGGTCTCGAGCTCTAGCTCGAGTTTATTTTATTCTCTCCTCATTTGGTGGTCGAAGTATTTTTGTTTTGCTTTCTGTATGTTCTAATATATTTAGGGCATTTTTGCTTTATTCTACCTTTTTTTTGTTTCTTCTATTAGACTCGTACCTAGGTATGTATTGTCAACTTTTTTAAATTTAATAATTGATTTAGATACGTGCGGTAATTATTACCTATATTTA